CGGGTCACCAAGTCACTGCGGGTTGATAGCGATGTTACTTCAGAGTAAATGGCGTTAATTAGAGACCTTTCACTGTTGGCACTTGTCTCTGCCGAGACTGCATTTTGTCCGCTCTCCAGTCTGCCGTACATGGGTGTGATAGTCGGATTTGTGGGAAGAGAAGATCGGCCGGCAAACTGGAATGTCCAGTGGCATCCTGTTGGAACCAACCTCAACCTGTGTGACTGAAGCAGGTCTGTGTCCGAAGACTAGGCTCTCTGCGTTAAAATCGATCTTCGTCCCGATGCCATCTATGGTCATGAGTCATGGGCCATGACTTACGAGCATCGGTTCCTGCTACAAGCGGTTTAAATAGGCTTTCTAAGAACAATCGCTGGCCTCAACAAAGTTCAGATATTCAAGAAATCCTTGATGCACGGCCGTTGCTTTTACAGACTGAGAAATCACGGCTGCGATGGTTTGGACACGTCCTTTAAATGCTTCCAGAAAGCAAGGTGAAACTCGCCCAACCGACCGACAGGAGAATAACCGTGGACGGCTAAGAATAACCCAAGCAAGTATATGAAAGCACTCTGCTCATTTATCTCTTACCGAAGCCCAAATGCTTGCGCAGGATTGGGAATGTCGGAGGTACTGACAGATGCACCCGTATCCTTGACCCAAAAGGATGAGCTATCCTGGGAATTGGCTAATTGACAAACAAGACTTTTATGTTCTACTGATTAGGTCAAGTCATTGAAACAGATGACCACATGGAATGATATATCCTCAGACTGCCGATTAAATGACTACGCGCTGACTCAGGGACCTGGAGTAGTCCACACAGTGGAATAATAAAATAAGATGAATATCAGTGATATTCACAGTTTAATAGCGGCTTCGCATTATACTCGAAGAGGGAGCTTTCCATTGATAGGCAATATGTTGAGCGAAGTCAAATAATTGATACAAATGACCATCTGTCAGTGACATAAATCGAAACCTGCGATCGGCAGATTGCGCCCTCCCTGACTTACCGAAATAGAGCGGCCGTAGCAATGGAATTTTAATCAAAAAATTCACTAGTTTTATAAGGGTATCATACTTTATACACAGTACTATTCGTTGATATATAAATAATGGGCTTAATCATGCAAATGATGCAGCTGACCACTGTTCAGTTATGCGCATTCAGTGCTGTGACCGTAGGCTGAACGCTGACAACAGCCAGCGGTCTATAACCGAAACAGCTGCGCCAAAACCTCCCATTGCATGGAATCTATCCCAATGAACTTGGCTGCACTGATTACTGGAAACCCAGGATGATTCGAAACGTTCCCCATCGCAAAACGACCAATGGGCTGCAAAAACACCTATGTTGGATAAAACAGTAGATGACAATGCAAGAGAGAGTCAACGGTTTATGAGTTTATCGCGTTTTTATAGCGTTGAAGATGGAGCATTAAATTCCGACAGAGCTGAAATACAGGCTGTCTGCAATGACTTTGAAACAAAGCTCTTTGTGTCAAGGATACGTTTCCCCAATCATCATTCTAACAGCCAGCAGTAAGCGCATTCCCGATCCTCATAAACGAAGTTCAGCAAGACGCGCAGCAAATGATGGAAAGGAAGGAGTCCAGGGAGAGATAGGTCATGATTGAAATGATCAGACGCTCTGGAAGGTTAAAGCAGATTGCTTCAGTTGATTCCAGGAAAACGAAAAGATACCATCAAGCTGGAAAAAATCAAAAACGGTTGTGCTGTTTAACCAGGGATACATGGAAGATCTGATGAAGTATCGCTTAATCTGCCGGCTCTCACAAGTACACAAACTGTTCAGTAAGACCACCAACAGACTGTCAGTGAATATGCAGTCAGGAAAAGAAAGGGAAATCCAAACGAACTATAACATAACAGATAAAGCATTTACCTCTGGTCAATTCCTCGAACGTGCGAAGGAATTTCAGCTCCCTTCCTCTATCACCTTCGTCGACTACGAGAAAGCGTTCAGCATGGCCGAGTACAACGCACTGTGGCCTGTAATGGCAGAGCAGAGCATTGATACCCATTCTGTCGAGCTACCAATGGAAACTAATTCTGCCTGTTTCACGATGTGTCACGCTGCTCGACTCCCACTGTGGATTCCTCTAAAGAATGATATGAAACGAAGGGGCGCAACCTCCCGAAATCTCTTCACTCCCTGTTTGGAAACAATGTTCCTGAGGAGCAATGTGTCATGAATGCCCATAGAAAGGAAGGCAAAGCAGCTGTTTCTTGCGAAACCGACTGGCAGAAGGCACAGGGGACGGCCAAGATTAACCTGGTGCAGATATATAAAAGGATTCTCTTCGAGACTCCAGTTGTCTTCTGCCAAAGCTCAGACTCTGGCACAGGATCGGGAACATTGGAAGCACTGTCTGACGCGTCTGCCTCCGCGACCCGAAAAGGAGAAGCGGCGATGGAAGATGAAGACGGAAATGTTCCTGAGGAAAGGCATGATTAACGTCAATGGTAAATGGCTCAGCCCACCTAATGTTTGCCGATGGCGTGGAGTTTCTTGCGGAAGACTTAAATCAGTTACGAAGCATGTTGCAAGAACTGGAGAAACAAAACTGTAGAAGCCAGATTATGAATCAATCGCTTAAAGACAAAATGCCGAAATTGGATGCCCTGCTGTACGCCCAGGTAATATTAAAGGGAAGAAAGATCGAAGTCGATAAATACATTTACCTGGGCCAAATGATTACCATCCGGCCTGACCAAACTGAAGGGATCCAATGGAGAAAAACGGCCGGATGATCTGCGTTCCATTCCATCAAGAACGTTCTCCTTTGTAGCATCAGGAAAGAAACCTATGTCCGCCTTTTCAATTCCATCGTTGTATGAGTGTGAAAAGTGGTTATTCAGTTAAACCAAACTTCGCTGGTTATCTGCCCATTGAGAAGCCATGAAAAGTACGTGCTAGGAGTCTCACATCGCGATCACATGCCCAACACGGTGGTTAGGCAGCGGACCGTAGTGAAAGGCATCATCGAAGGCAAAAACGGGTAGTTGAGGTGGGTCGGATACTCGATGCGCGGCTAATGGACCAATCGGACTAGTGGTAGTCGGCTATGTTCGCTGACTGGTACTCTCGTGACGGACCACGGCGCTCGCTCCACCTCGCTTCACCCTCCCCATGACGGCAGGAGGATTACTGCGGAGGAGGCCGTGCTTGGAGGGACAAGGACAG